CGCCCCTGCTCGAAGCATTTCTCCGAACATCCGCCCGCAATCTTTGAATCATCACTCCTTCACCCTTGAAAAAAAGAATTTGCATTGCACGCCTATTTGAATCATCACTTCTTCGAGCATCATGGGGGGGCTGCCGCCCCCCCCAACCGCCCCGCCACTTAGTACATTTGGCAACAAGCTCTTCTTCGAGCATCATGGGGGGGGCTGCCGCCCCCCCCAACCCCCCCGCTACTGAGTACATTTGGCAACAAGCTTTAACTGCGCCTCTACTCGAATCATCACTTCGAACATCCGCCCGCCCTCTTTGAATCCCCCCGGCTGCTTTTTCAGATTTGTTGCAGGGATTGACCGCACCTCCCCGCTACTTGGTACATTTGGCACCAAGATTTAGATGCGCCCCTACTCGAATCATCACTTCGAACATCCGCCCGCCCTCTTTGAATCATCACTCCTTGATGTTCCATCTAGGTTGCATTGCACGCCTATTTGAATCATCACTTCTTCGAGCATCATGGGGGGGGCCGCCCCCCCAACCCCCCCGCCGCTTAGTACATTTGGCAACAAGCTCTTCTTCGAGCATCATGGGGGGGCCTGCCGCCCCCCCCAACCCCCCCGCTACTGAGTACATTTGGCAACAAGCTTTAACTGCGCCTCTACTCGAATCATCACTTCGAACATCCGCCCGCCCTCTTTGAATCCCCCCGGCTGCTTTTTCAGATTTGTTGCAGGGATTGACCGCACCTCCCCGCTACTTGGTACATTTGGCACCAAGATTTAGATGCGCCCCTACTCGAATCATCACTTCGAACATCCGCCCGCCCTCTTTGAATCATCACTCCTTGATGTTCCATCTAGGTTGCATTGCACGCCTATTTGAATCATCACTTCTTCGAGCATCATGGGGGGGGCGGCCCCCCCAACCCCCCCGCTACTTAGGACATTTGGCAACAAGCTCTTCTTCGAGCATCATGGGGGGGGCTGCCGCCCCCCCCCAACCCCCCCGCTACTTAGTACATTTTGCAACAAGCTTTAACTGCGCCTCTACTCGAGTCATCACTTCGAACATCCGCCCGCCCTCTTTGAATCATCACTCCTTCACCTTTGAAACATCATAGGGGGGCTGCCCGCCACTTTTGAAGATTTTTTGTAGCAAGATTTAGTTGCACCCCTGCTCACATGTGGCACCAAGATTTAGCTGCACAGCTGCTCAAGGTGGGGGGGGGGGGGTGGTGGTACCCCCCCAGTTGCGCGGGGGGGGGGGGGGTGGTGCAAAACCAACCCCTTGCTGTGCAGGGGGGGGGGGGGGGGGTGGTGTGGACCCCCCCCTGAGGGTGGGGGGGGGCTTGCTGTGCGGGGGGGGGGGGTGGTGGTGGACCCCGCCCCCCTTCTTTAAGGTGAGGGGGGGTTGTGCGTAGGGGGGGGGGGTGGTCCCCCCCCCCTTAAGAGGGTGAGGGGGGGGGGGGGGTGGTGGTGCGGGACAGACCTGAAAAAGTCCAGCGCCACATCTGCGGGCACTATCGGAATGATCAAGTGCGCAAGGCAACAAGCCATTCTCGAACATGTCCCGAGCTCACGAAAAAGCCTGTTCTATTAAGCTGTGTTTCAGTGAGCATGGGGGACGGCTGGTTGCCGAATGGACGCATTTGTTCGCTTGGCTTGTCAGAACCAACCCCACCATAAAAAGCAGGATGGAACATTGCATACTCACCCACCCACTCGCCCAACCAATCAACCCACCCGCCCGCCCAACCAACCAAACAACCGAACACGACCAACCAACCAAACACAACCAACCAACCAACCAACCGATCAAACACAACCAACCAACCAATCCACTTACCCATTCAACCAAACCTAGCAACCGACCAACCACCAACTGACCAACCGACTCAACCAAGCAACCGCGGCCGAAATTGCAAAGCAATCTTTGCAGGTTCCGTCCTCATAGGCCACCGCGAAGCCTCCAGACCCGACTGGCTCGTCCTCAGAAAAACCAGCCAAGCCCGCGTGTGTTCGAAAAAACCTAATTTGGTGGGCTTTCCAGGCCAACTACAGCGGAAAAACCCACCGTTTTGGATTACCAAGGCTGTATTTGGACAGTTCCATTCCTCGCTTCCCTAGACTTGCGCAATCAGCCCCAAACTTTGTGCAGAGTCCCTGTCAAAACCCGTTCCCTCCCAAGGACAAACTCACAGCCGGAGGAAAAAAAGGCGAAGGCCTCTTCAGGCTGCAACCCGTTGGAGCCGGCGGGGCTGCTTTTTAAAGTGCCTCAGGAGAGTTGCGCCTAGCCTCCGGGCAAAAGCTCTGGCCATGTAGGCTTCATTGAAACTCATTTGCCGAAAGGTCACGCCAAGGACCCAGATAGAAAGGGGCCGCTTTTGCCACTTTTGCCGCACACCACGCGCCCATCGGACCCCTGGTCACCCTCAAGCGACCTCCCTTAGGGAGGTAGTCGCTTTCAAGGCCGAAGGTCTCAGCCCACCGATCCTGGCGAACCCCTGGCCTGTGAACACATTTGCCCGTCGCAAAACTTGGGAAGGAATGATCTGGCCTGTTGTTTTTCAGCCAAATTGAAGGCACAAGTTCAAACTGCAAGCCCGTTGGGTTTGATGACATGTCCCAACTCCTTTTTGACTGCCAACGGGTGGGTACTGCTAGTCTCTGAACATGAACATGTTCATGGGTTCTCAGATGATTTGGCGCAGCGCTTTTCCTTCAGGCCACCAGTTGCAAGGTGGTATTAAGGATGTCACTTTCATTGACCGACTGTATCCGTACTGCTCAAAATGCAGGTGCGGGAGGTCCTCGATGGCCCAAGGCACTCACAAGAAACTGGCTTGCTTACCCCACTCATGGGCCACGAAAAGAGTGCTGAAGCAATTGCGGCAAAACGAGCGCAGGAATCATCCATCCATGCCTTGAACATTCTTACCTCAGCTGCCAACACCAAAACGAAGATGTGTGGCTGCTGGCCCATTTAGTGAACATATTCAACCCCTTGAAGGGGTTGCCCACACTACTTCGGTTTATGGTTTATAGTCTGACTGTTCCGCGGAGTCACTGGGTTTCCACATGGTCAAGTTAGAGATCCCAGGCTCCTTCACCTGAAGTCGCTCGCGGGAGCTGTGAAAAGCTTCGCCTTCAAGCGAAGCTTTAGCAGACAACATGTCGCACAGGGCAGTGGCTCACAAGGAAATGACTCGCACATGCTCAAGCAAAGTTGAAACAGGGCTCGGCCGGTCCGACATTTCTTTGCCTCACCGTGGCCTGCAAGAAATTGGCGACTTACATGTATTCCTGGGATTTCAAGGAACCAAATGGCTCGAACAACTGGATGATCCGCCCTGCTGGTCACCACAGAGCACTCCGTGCTACATTCGAATGAGGCCTGTTGTTCGAAAAGAAAAAGATCAGCAAGACACTCAAAGAAAAACATCAGCATCCCTCTAGCTGGTGATTTGGTTTGGTGTTTGGAAGTGTCGGGGGGTGGTTTCCCATGAGCCCTCTACAAGAACCACGATTCCAAAAACGAATCCCAACCACCAAGTGGAAGTTACCTGAACCAAGGCTCGGCTGCTTTCTGCTCCCCTGCTAAAAGTTTAACTTTTAGTGGCTTAATGGGGAACCCATTAGTTGGCCAAAAGTTAAAGTCCTAACATCCAAGCAAAATGCACCAAAGAAGGGTTTGGGTTGGGACCACGTTCTACCAGACCTCAACTTCTTTGGAAGCCACTGACCTTTCCGAGGCATATCGCTCACTCAAGTGCTTCGCGATTTACCCAGGACTCCAAGAGGTGGTAGGACTTGGCACCTCAGCTTTTGCCATCGGCAAATAAGCGGTTCCTGGACGATGTAGAGAATCATTTAGCTTATTTGGGTCAAAGAACCCAGGTTGAAGAGCCAGTTCCTTTCGAGCTCATGCAACCTTCAGCATGCAAAGGGTTGGGCTGAAAATTGGCGGACTTGAAATATGGTATGGCCTGCCTCACGGACAAAAACATATGCAGAGATTCATGGAAGTCCGAGCTGAAGAAGCCCTGAATCAACGTGGGTATGGGTCAAGTTTTAACCACCAAAGGACCGCTGGTTTTAGTCTTTGCTTCCATTTGCCAGCGCTCCATGTTGGGTACCACATCCACGTATCAATCAAGGGGGGCAGTCTGCAAGAGATTCATCCATAAACTCGCCTAAGCAAAAAGGATGGTGCCCTGCTGGCAGAGCTGTACAAAGCTCGCGACCAAATTCGGCCGGGCAGGTTTCGACGTTCAGAAAGGCAACGTAACAATTAGCAAGGCCAAGGAACAAATAGAACATGGCGAATCTCCCGGGCCCAGTTATTTGCAGCAACCTCATTCCAGGGCTGGTTTGCTTGCAACATGTTCCCCGTTGTTCAGTGACCCGAGTAGAAAAACGAACCCTTTCAGGGTGGATCATTTTAATGCGGAACCCACCCAAAATGGAAAAAACTGAACAACTGGGCACGGCAACCAGAAAGGGGCCAACAGCAAGCAATCTGAAATTTGCTGCAATAAACGGCCGTCTTGAAGTCAAAAATGTAAACCATGTCAAGACAGGTCCTTTGCCCTAGCAAGGTCTGTAAACATCATCCGAATCACGGCCACCAAGCTCTCTTGTACGTGCATGAAGCAACCCGCAGGTGCAACATTAAACCGTGATGTGACAAAGGTGGTGCCGTCCACCTTCATCCCACTGGCAGCACAGGTCATGATGTGCCTGTAGGAAAAGCGCCCGCAAACCGCCGCGGAAGGCTCACGGATCATGAAGTGACACCCCTTTGCCGCACAGCCAAGGGCCTTCCTTTTGTTGGGATCATCGGTTCGCCTAGTCAAAGCATCGGCTCAAGGCGTGTTGGCCTTTCTACATCCGTGCAACCGGGTCCTGTAGTTGCCCTCCCAGTGCTCAGGACACGGCCTGCATAGTCCAATGCCTTCTTGCCATCCCTGTCTCGCAGCTCCTCACCCAGAAAAAGAAAAAAACATACAGACTGCGAATGGACGAAATCCATTTCGCACCACCTAAGATATGCCGGAATGATGAGTTCCCTGCAAATACCGACAAACAATTTTTGTTTTCCATGGTTTCAACATGGTGCAGGAGTTTGTCCACAGTATGGTTGTGATCTGGTCCATTTACTCTGCCCTCAGAATACACAGTATTGGCTTAGCCCCGCCTTGTGGTCAAACAATGCCCCAAACAAGGGGGCTTGGTCATACTGCTGGTGTCTGACCCTAAACCCCGCGGACCGAGAGACGGTGCAAAAAGCGGAGAACTACTCAACCTTGCAAAGAACAATTCGAAACACTAAAATAAGCCTGGAGAAATTCGATGACCACAACATGTGTTGTGTTCCAGTCGCTTGCCGATGAAAACTTCAGTGCCCAAGTAAGGAACCTGCATGGAAGAGCTCGCAGGCTGACCTCTGGAATCGGCTCGCTCTGGCTTCCAAGGCGCCACGTCCGCCTTGCCCATCAAAAGCAGCTCCAGGACCTCAGTTTCGCGCTTCGGCTCATCCACTTCTCTTGAACACGCGGGGGGGGTGCTGTACGAGAGGGTTGAGCGGTTGACGCCTCCAAGTTCACCAGGCCCAATCTCAAAACTCGACAGGCTGGTGGCTCGGGCCACCCTTGGCTTTCACCATTCTGGTGGGCCCAGGGTCTAGGCAGTTCAATACCAAGAGGCTTGACAGGCCTTTTTTTGCGAATGATCTCAGCATTTCAGGGCAAGAATGAGAACAACCGAGATTGGCGATGCCCTGTGGTACCTTTGAATAGGGGATCATGCTTTGACTTCAAACCTGGTATTGGCATGGTTGAGATAAAACCGCCTTTCTGTGCTACCAATGGGTGACCCCGAGGATTACTTTGTCACCACTTTGACGGCATCGAAGAAAGTGACCCTATCCAAATTTGAAGAAGGCAAAGAAGGTAAGAAGGCAAAGAAGGCAAAGAAGGCAAGAAGTGGCCCTATCCATGACTGGAGCAAAGAAGGCAAGTGGCCCTATCCAAATGTGAAGAAGGCAAAGAAGGCAAGAAGGCAAAGAAGGCAAGAAGGCAAAGAAGGCAAGAAGTGGCCCTATGCAGGACTGGAGCAAAGAAGGCAAGTAGACTGCCTGCAAAACTCACAACTTCACGCCTGGACTTTATTTCAGGGGCTCAAGTCTTGTTGCCCGCACCCCCCACCCGGTCAAATCACCAGTACTACATCAACTGGTTTCTAAAATCCAATCTTAAAAGGGAGCTCCAGCAATACTGAACAATTCAACTGGACCTCAAGATGCTAAGTCAGATTAGATACCTCCTTTGTTGCGGGGTCCTCTACTAATCCAATGTCACCCTTCCCTTTTGGAGGAGGGGGTGGTCTTCCCCTAAAAGGGGAAGTGGAACCATAAGCGGAATTCCACCGGTCACAGAGTTCCAATTTCAAAGGGCCGAGCCGCCGAGGGTAGATGCGAGGTGTAGGCAATGTAGTCCACCTGCGAGGGCATGGGACTGACCAATTTCCAAGGCGCAACGCTTGGCCCCTTGCACTGGGGCACACAAACGGGTGTTCAGAGCCTGATGCACAAGCCTACCCTAGATTTTGCGAGGAGACGGAATAAGCGTGATGGGCACACAGTAGTCAACTTGTGGAGGCGACTGCAAGCAACTCCAGAAGGAAACTCGCTAACGACCACTCGTCCCAAAAGACCCGCGATCTTGAAAGGCCAGCCTCAATGTGGAGGTTTTAAAAGCCTTCCCCGTTCACAGGCCTGTCCTATAACTGTACTCATGACCCAAGTTGCCGCCCGCGACATCTACATAGATCAAACATGAAGAGCAACCGCTCAAGAGGCCTGTGACAACTGAGTTATCTCAAGTAAGGCTCAACATTCTAAATCCCAGTGCTCCACGGGGAAAACCCATATCCTGCCAAGTCGCCATAGGCGCAAAGTTATGCCGTGGCCGCAGCGTCGCATTCTTCTTCGCCGCGTAAATGAGAGCGCTCTGCCCATCTGCGCCGCAGCAATTATGCGAGTCGTGTGGGGGTCACCTTGCTTCCCTGAAACCCAGGGAAACCATCACGTGGATTCTCCTGGTTGACCACATACTCCCTTGCCTATTCATGGAGATGTGCTGGGCATGTTTACTTGGAGCATGTCCCCCAGAAACCCTCAGAAAGACCTAATTATTTCCGTGGACTGCAGGATCACTGACAGCATCCTCGGAGGTATGAATTTCGGACCAACAGATCGCGGTTTGGCAGCCAAACTCATTCAACAGTCCTGCAATAGCACTCTGCGCCTAGCCCCAGAGCCCTAAAATGCGCCTCATATCAAAAGTTCTCCTCTTGGCGCCTCCGTGTAGCCCTTCAAGAACGTCCACTGCACTCAAGAAGGAACGTTTAACCCTTGACGCAGAACACATCAATTCAATGGTTCAACCGTTGCTCATGTTTTCCTCATCGCTTGGGTGGCGGACCGCCGAGGCCAAGTTGACTGAT